CGAACTCACAGAGATCCACCTGGCTCTGCCTCCCAAGTGCTGGGATTAAAGGCGTGCGCCACCACCGCCCGGCGGTTTTGGTTTTTTGAGACAGGGTTTCTCTGTGTAGCTTTGGAGCCTGTCCTGGGAATCACTCTGTAGCCCAGGCTGGCCTCGAACTCACAGAGATCCGCCTGCCAGGACAGGAGTTTTAGCAACAGTGACTTAGGACTTGTTAGGGTATGGACACAGCAGCTTGCATGGATAGGAACTGGGGCAGAGGCCTTCCAGGTCTTTCATTCCCGTGACCCCAGATGTATCCACTTACCCGGGTCAGCCGAGTTCCCATAGCAGCCAGAGCTGGCCTAGACTGCCCCTGTAACCCCAGCACTGAGGAGGCTGAGGCAGGAGGATGGGATACAGAGTGAGATTCCGGCTAAAGACAGCAACAGCTCTTGTAACTGCATTCATTGTACGCCTCCTTACTAACAGCTGACTGAGGCTGCGGGACGCCGACCTGTTGGCAAAGCTGCCTGGCCTAGACAGAAAAGGCAAGGGACAGGGATTTTTGCTGATGGCTGCATGGCAGAGGGAAGGCCCTCTGACGAGGTGACAGTGCTGGCATACAGTACATGAGGGTGACAGTGACCAGTCCAGGCTTCAGAAGTTTATAGCCATGGGAGTCAGGCAAGATGGCTCAGGTCGGTAATCCCAGGTGTAGACAAGTCATCCTCAAGGACATGGTGAGTTTCAGGCTTGCCTGGGCTAAATGGGACTCTGTCCCAAAAACAAACAGACAGATACTGAGTGAAGCTGTAGGAAAAGGAAGTAAGGGAGGTGCCTAACATTTAGGGTGTAAAATTTAAGGGAGCGGCAAAGCATTGATAATTATCTAGTGCAATATATATTCATTCATATACACGCATGTGCATATGCATAATGCAGTGCTGGAGACACGAACCTGGGTCGTGAATACTAGGCCAAAGTTGTGTAACTGCTAGCTGGAGAGGTGGCTCAGTGGTTAAGAGCCCTGGCTGCTCTTTTGGTTCTGGGTTCAAGTCTCATCACCTACATGGACTGTAACTCCAGTTCCAGGGGGTCCAATACCCTCTTCCATTTTCCCTGGGTGCCGGACAAGTGGTTCACAGACTCACACTTAGACGAAACACCCACACACATAAAAGTTACTCTTTGTTTTGTTTTTTCAAGACAGGGTTTCTCTGTGTAGCCCTGGCTGTCCTGGAACGTACTCTGTAGACCAGGCTGGCCTCAAACTCAGGGATCTACCTGCTTCTGCCTCCTGAGTGCTGAGATTAAAGTCATGCCACTACACCCAATCAAAAATTAAAAATTAGCCGGGCGGTGGTGGCGCACGCCTTTAATCCCAGCACTCGGGAGGCAGAGGCAGGCGGATCTCTGTGAGTTCGAGGCCAGCCTGGGCTACCAAGTGAGTTCCAGGAAAAGGTGCAAAGCTACACAGAGAAACCCTGTCTTGAAAAACCAAAAAAAAAAAAAAAAAAAAAAAAATTAAAAATTAGCTGGGCGGGGGTGGTGCACGCCTTTAATCCCAGCACTCGGGAGGCAGAGGCAGGAGGATCTCTGTGAGTTCGAGGCCTGCCTGGTCTCCAAAGCAAGTTCCAGGAAAGGCGCAAAGCTACACAGAGAAACCCTGTCTCGGAAAAAAAAAAATTAAAAATTAAAAAAGAAACCATATGACCAAGCTTCACCTGTAACAGCTAGCACAATGTTTTTCTTTATAAAAGTTATTTATTTACTTATTTTGTGTGTGTACTTGTGTGGTCACGCACATGCCATGGCAGCAGTGTCTACATCAGAGGACAGCTTGCAGGAGTCGGTTCTCTCCCTCTACCACATGGGTCCGTGTTGGCATGAAGTGCCAGAACCTGCCAAACTGTCTTGGTGAACTAATATTTTCAAAAGCTAAAATTAGTAGTAATAAATGTGTATTACCTGACGGAGTTTAAGTCAGCACGCCACAGAGCTACCTGTGTGTCCCTGTTTATTGAAGCACAATTCACAATACGAGGTATGGAGCCGACCCAGTGTCTGTCTGTTTTTTCATTAAGAAATTTTCTACTTGCCGGGCAGTGGTGGCGCACTCCTTTAATCCCAGAACTCATCACTGTGAGTTCGAGGCCAGCCTGGTCCACAGAGTGAGTTCCAGGAAAGGCGCAAAACTACACAGAGAAACCCTGTCAAGAA